GTCAGATAAAGGAATAGGAACCTAGGGCCGTAAGTCACAAGATCCTACAAATATGGAAAGGTAAAGCCAGGGTTCTTTACCAATTTAAAATGAAGTTTGAAGGCCAGGCATGTAGCTCAGTTGTAGAGTACTTGCCTGACATGATCCCCAGCACTGTAAAACTCAATAAATAAAAATGAAGCAAGACGAAAACAGCAGGGCCAAAGGTGACCCCAAGATTTCTGCATAACTGACAGGATGAGATAGCTGAAGTTAAGCCGGAGGAGCAGCAGAGAGGAAGGCTGCAGGTGAGGGTCACCCACTTTCCCGAGGACCCCTCACTTTTTCTTGGCATCATTCCTTTCTTGTTGAAGACTGAGCCGGTGGGAGCTGCACCGCAGGGTCTCCCACCTGTTGTTCCTCTGTTCCCAGCAGAACCTTGCTTCCATTCCATTGCTTTTTCCTTTGCTGATAACAATGGCTACTTTCCACTGGGTGCTCCTGACACATTCAGGTGCTTTCTCTGTTTTCCCTTGGAAACAGCCTTAAGAAACCAGGCTCTCCGAGTTTAGGAAACTTGCCTAGGGCCATACACCTAGCGACTGGCAAAGTCAGGACTGAAACCCATCCTGCTTCCCTCCAAAGCCGCCTTTTAATCAGGATGCCACAGAATCTTGGTTCTGGCCATGGCTCCAGGTACACAGAACCCTCCTGTGAGTTTTGTTTTCCCAGAACTTGGTCCAGGACTAGTAACAGTCACTCCAGACTTCTGTTCTCTTAACCAGGCTCTTCCAGAAATACCCTGAACTATTTCTGTTCTTTTCTCTTGCAAGGAAAAGTGTTATCCAGAATCCTGTTGTGAGGGTTTTTTCTCTCTCTATTCCAGCTGCATCCTCACACAATTTTGCCATGAGGGAGGGGAAGAAAGCTGGTTGGGAGGGACACGGGAGAGTTCCTGATGATATGACCAACTGGCCTCTGATCCCAGCTCCTGCACTGGCAGAACAAAAAAATCTATCCACAGAAGCAAATGCATCCCTGCACCCAGACTTTGACTTCTGACCAGCTCCACAGAATTTCGTATCTCTTAATTCAGGACAGATGAGTCCAGGTGCCACAAACCGTGAGCTTTTGAGGTAACAGGAACATTTTCAATCAAAAGTGTCCTTTTTGTGCCATTTCACTGCATTCTGATGGTATTCTGAGAAAGCAGCTTGCAAGGACGGGAATACAGGCACACAGAGTTTCTATCACTTCCCCCTCACTGTCTCGGTCCCGTCTACATTTTAAACCCAGGAACCCTGTGTCTCCTCACACCAAGAACATTTGGCTGCAGTCCTTCCATGTTTGTTAAAGAAAACAAGTAACAACAGTAACTACTTATCCTCTGAAGCCAAATCTCCACCACTCTCTAAGCCAGTCGGGAGAGGAGTATTCACGCTTCTGCAGGTAACTGCCTGTCGAATTCTTTCTGCTGGCTGCACTGTGAGTATTTGCCTGGAAGGTAGCATCTCCTGTCAGTTACCTGTCTGTCAAAGCTGCTACTTTCTTCCCCAGGGTATTTTTCTGTACAAGCTGCCACTTCTCCTGGCCACTAAAAGTATCTGCTGAGCCTAATACTTCCCCCCACACACACACATACATGGACGACAGGGAGGACCTGCTTGACCAGACTTGCAAAGCTCCTAAATGCAAGTACATTCATTTGGCAGCTACAGTGGGAGCAAAGATTCAGGACAGCCAATTCAGATAATGTCCCAGGAAAAGGAAAAATTGTCAAGAGCCGTGTTCTGAGCTGAAACCTAAGATGGAGGTCGCTCTCACCACTATCTGCAAAGTCTGACCCTGGCTGCGACACAAAGCCTGGTTTTCCTGGGCTACTACTGCTGTTGAGCTGTTCAAAACCTTCCTATTGTGATCTCATTTTTATACTCCTGTCATTTAATATGTTTCATGAAGGTCCTCACCTGTCCCTTACATGACAGCTGCAAAAAAAAAACCAGTTCTTCTGAGCTAAGGAGGCTCTGCGGTTTGCCCAGCTGCAAAACCTGAGTTTTGGAGTCAGCAGACCTGCAGTGAATTCTTGGCTTTGTCACTTATGAGCTGTGAATCCAGAACAACAAGTCATACAGTGATTTAAGCTCCAGCTCTCTCATCTGCCAAATAGCATAAGAATGCCCACCCATCCTCACAAGAAATCCAGGGGGTTGCAGGACCAATGCCTGCAGTACTCGGTACAGGGCTGGCACACAGTAGGCGGTCACTAAATAGCAGCTACCACTCTGGCTATCACTGGAAGGAGGTGGTGGCAGGCAGAGCTGCCACTTCAGCACTGAGATCAGCTGACCTCAGGCTGTGCCCCTTGCTCCCAGTTGATCCTAAGTGATGTGGCGAGTGGCTGTCCCACGAGGTTCGCTTCTCTGTCCACGAGTGAGGATAAGGACTCTTCCCTCATGTGGGGCTGGGTACCTGCAGTGCATGTTTGCTTACCCTCCTGGGGAATGGGGGTTGCTCCCTAAACACAAAGCTTCCTTTGCAAAGTCAGGGGAACAACAATGAACTGCATCACAATACCACCGCCAAGCAACTAGTTCAGTTCTTTAAACCCACACTCAAAACTTGTATGGCATGTCAGTGAAGGGGAGACTGGTTGCTAATGTGAAACCCACCTATAGAAAGCTACCTTGTTGTTCCCCTTTGGAAAGGGGCACTAAGCTCCTCCAGCCCCCTTCTTTCATTGTCACAGACCACCCACTGCAACTCGCTGGCAAGCTGCCACAATCCTGGCGGGCCAAGGGGCTAACTCCAGGGTGCAGTCCCCAGCTCCATCTCTGCAGCAGAAGCCTATAGAGGGAAAGGACCTGACTGTGGGGCTGTCACCTGGAGCCGACTCAGCCTTCACAGATGGCAGACCACCAAAGGTCTCAAAGAAGGCTTGCAGGTGACTGTTTTAGAGGTCTGCACACTGCAAGACCCATTAGAATTCAACTCTTGGCTGCCATATAGCAGGTTCTTATACAACTTGTTCACTACAAAACATCCATTCATAATGACAGAGGTAAACAGCTGCAAATTTCCATGACTTCATGTGGTCTCTCATGCAAAAGAAGGCCCTGTGCTGACTGAGGGCATTAATGAATAAACCTCATTAGGGCACAGCGAACGAAGAAGGAAGACCTACTGTAATCCCAGTGTGGAGTAACAGCAATGAGACAGAAAACAGAGAGACAGTCAAATGGGAGAGATGATTTGTGAAATAATTAAGAGCAGCCTCTGCTTTCATAGAAAAGCCAATAAACCCTGAACCTCCCAATTTTCCTCTCCAATTAACTGTGACCCATACCTAATAAACCTGCTGGGATTGTAATATTAGGTAAGTACAGACTAGTAAAGGCACTTGGCTTAGACTAATCTAGAAAAATATTGGCAGAGACAGGGAAAGTGGGGGAGGCCTCTTTTCCACAATCCAGCTGCAGCCCCATCTGGGTGGGGCCTCAGCCCAGGCAGTCCACATACCCCCCTCCCTACCTGTTACTCTGCCACGTGTGATGTTTAGTTCTCGGCAGCCTGGAAGGTATCTGAGCAATTGGAAAAGCCCAGGGACTTTTACTTCCCTAAAATAAATTTCCCCATTTCTGCTAGTCTTGGAATGATTTCAGGCAAACAGCAGAATATAGTGCACATGGAATTGAAAAGCACGATGCTGAATTCAGGCGTGTGCTTCTCACAGCTAAAATCTGACATAGATGAGAAAGAAAAGAAATCTGCCTGTTTCTCTTTTTCGCCCTCAGAGCTATTCAGTAATTGGTTTTGGAAACATACCCAAGACCCAGATTTCTGAGATTTTACATTCAATGCAGAGATTCTACAACCCAAGTTTCCTAAAATTAAAACTCCTCTAGCCTTGAAATCTCATTATCTCCAGCATATTATCTCCATCTTGCACTGAGGAAATACGAACTTTGGGGAAGAAAACAGCAGACTCCTATAGGCAGGGGTACAAGAACATTTAGCATTATAGGTCACACTTTTAGGTTTAAGATTCAGCCTGAGATTTCTTTTTCTGCAGGAAGTCTTTCTTCACTGACCACTTCATGTGCTTTGACACTAGAGTCTGCTTCATACTACAGAACCCTTCCAAGTAGCAATGGAATTCTGAATGCTGTGGACTCCAGGACTGATCCCTGCCAACCCACGCCATGAGGCCAGGCACACAACATGGATTCAATAACGGCCTGTTGAAAGGAAGAAGACTCTAATTTGCACACACTGTGTCTATATTATCTCGTCCAACATTCTTCAAACTCATTTTGGAGAAAAGTAACATGCTTTTGCTATACTTTCCACTGCTCAGCAGCTTTTGGGTTATTTTTCTCAACCCTACTTACCTTGCTCATAGTAACATTTCTGGTTACCAACCAGAACTAGTTGAGACTATCTCAACATTTTCTCTGGCAACCGAATTAAGGTGACTGTGTATTACTGGCTATAATCTTTCTGCTATGATTTCTTCTTACTACCCAATAATCCTGTCTCAAACATCAAAGGCTTTCTTTGAAGATAAAGCCAAATTCACCATTAGCAAAAGAGAAATTATTTCCTAGCTTTATTTCAAAAGATGGAAAGAAGTGGAATCACTCTGGTTTTGTGAGATAAACAAAGCCTGATACATCAAACCACAAGACACTCACTGTAATGTCAGTGACGCATACGTACTTGGCTCTCTTCACCAACCCTAAGCAGGGTTTCTCCACAGCAAGCTTAGACTCCAAATCTCATAGTTAATGATTTATATCCAACATGTCTGATGGTTGGCCTCAATGAAAGAGGGGTTCAGATGGCTACCATAGGCTTTGACTAAAAGAATATATGAGCTGCTAGAAACAACTTGAAGTTTATTCCAAATTTTACTCAAAGCTAGATTCTTCCCATACTAAAGGATGACCAAGTAGTAACACAAAACATGAAAATCCAGGAGATTAAATAGGCAAAGATACCAGACTGGAAGGAGAAAACCTCACCTACTTCTTCTGCTTCTTCGCTGATACACTCAGTTGATAAGAATGTTGACAAGACTTCATGGGTCATGGGTTCCAAGAAGCCTGTTCTGGGACTGAGGAAAAAGAGAATTGTCTCATCTTTTGAACAACAAAATAATTAGGTCTGAATATTTTCTTTTTATAAGGTGCATTGCTATAAACTATAGTAATTCCTTATTAATCTATTTTATGAATAAGAAAACAGATCAAAAGCAATTTTCCTAAAATGACAGCTTTTCTTAAGTGTTCAGTTACCTGGCTCCTTGGTAACAGTTAAGATAAACAATGGATTAAGAACAATGTTAGATTATATAGACCCACACTACCTTGTATCCAGTAGTATACTTTCATCAATACTCACCAAATATTATTTTAGAACATATTATAAGCCTCATATAATAAAGTGGGGCTTATTATAGGGATAGGGATTACTCTAGGGAGGAGACTTGGGATGACAGAGTGGCAGGCAAGAACTAACTCTGCAAAACCTTAGGGTCAGCTACTGTAGCGGTCCGGCTGAAGCAGAAGACTCCTAGTGAGGCAGGATTACCATGAAGTAGGACACAGCCACACCTAACAGGGCTGAGAAATTTGGATTTTAAAGTTGAGTGGTGACCTGATGGGACTGAAAGATGACAGAGCGGTGGTGATAGGTGAACAGTCAGGGCCCGGCCATGTGCCACCAGAAACTGTCATCAGGGTATCAACAAGCACAGTGATAACAGGAATAGAAATGGTGGTGCAGATGATGGAAAAACAAAGGGAAGAACAGGAAAGACCGGGCAAGCCTGGGGAAGGGGTCTGACTGCAGCAAGGAACTGGGGAGTGGGATGAGAGAGAGGCAGGAACAGATCTGAAGAAGAGTGAACGGAGTTCAGAGCTTTGGCTAGGGGTCCAACCTGCTCCAACAGGAAGGTCACTTCTACAGAGCCTTTAAACCATCCTTCCTTCAGTCCATTCTCCCTCTTCTCTCCGTGAGCAACACAGAAGGCTCCCAGGGCAAAATTCTTTCTTAAGAAGGCTTTTTGTAAACATGGACTTCTAGATTAAAAACAAACACCCTCTTTATTCCACTCCCTGATCCTAAATATTTGACTCATGCTCATAAATTATGAAAATATTGCATGGTAGGGTTCTATGTGGAAGCACATTTAGGATTTGGCTTGCTTCTACCAACAGCAAAACCGCTGACTACATAAGTTCTCCGTAAGACTTTGGTGAAAATGTAGAGATACTTCAGGGCTGTCTGATGACGTGAGTCCATACTTTGAACATGGCTATGTAAAAAGTATGTATGCACGTGGGTGAATAACAGTAAGTTATAGTATGGGATTGTGGGTACTTGTAAAAGCATTTCCATAATTAGTAATATATGATTGTATAATAAATAAAAATCCAGGGAGAACCACTCTTTGACCAAGGAAAGTTTCTGTCCTGTACAAGGGCACTCTCAGCAAGGTGTCAATGCACCACAAGTATTTGCTAAATTGAAATATGGAAGTGACAAGAAGTTACATATGTTAAAGTAAACAGATTTTCCCAGTAGGAAATATTGTTCTCTCCCTCCCTCTCCACTCTATTCTTTTCAAAGATAGCAAGGGGATTTGGAGTTTAAAGAAAAAGTCCAAACTCCCAATGCGTAAGAGCTTTTTTGGTGCCAGGTTAGCATGTTCTTTTTCAAAGGCCACAAAGTACTGGGCTGCAATTATCTAGCACACAAGGGTCTTCAGTCTTCAGTTGCAGTTTGAAAGACAAGGAGAGATAAGCCCTCAATTCATTAAGCATATCAGTGACTGCTGAAATTTGAACCCAGACCCCCCAAGGCCCTAGGCGCACTAAGATCACCAGGCTCACTTCTGGCCTTCTTAAATGCAGAATGTGTGTCTGTGTATGTATGCATGCCCTTGGGGAAACAATCAAATATTTCATGAGTAAAATCTATTCGTCCTCAGGCTAGGGCAACCACAGACAGCTGCTGCAGAAAAAGGGGATCCCAAACAGTGGAAGAAGAAGAAGGTAAAACCTCTGGACTCATTTAGCAGATGAAAAGAAACAGAGCTCACACTCTGTCCTTATCACAAGTCGGCTGACCAATTAGCAGCTAAGCAGGGTCCTCTCCCCACACACTAAGACCCCCCCCCCTTCCTCGCTTGTTGCAGTCAACAGGCTGACCATCCTGGCCTCTATCCATCTCTCCTGCCCAAGTAAACCCAGCCCCCTGTGCCCTGAGCAGTTTGTCCAGAGTGATGGCTGCTCCTGCTGTGGTGCTTGTCTGAGATATCCTGAAGGAGGATAAAAAGGATAACGCCTGCAGTCTGCACTCTCAGGCTTCATAAGTGTAGACAGACTTTAGCTTCTTGAAGGGCCAATTTCCGAGTAATAAATCTCCATAGTAACAGGCATGTCACCAAAAAGGCACAAGAGGGCAGGTCTGATGTCTTTCATTTTTACTTTTTTGCATAAATTCACTTGAAAAACTAACCTGCCAGGAAAATCATAAGCCCATTGCTGTTTCCACCCACATCTGTCCTGCTGACCCTAAGGTGCTTCAAGATTACCATTCTGGGTTTCATTTACGAGACCATTAAAAAGTGCCAATTATAAGACCTCAGAAATGTTTCTGGGAAACCTGTTACACACCTCTAAATGGCCAACCTCTTAAGATTCACTTTAAGTACAGTTCAAAAAACAGGTCGCCCAGATGTATGAGCGTCCCAGCCCCCACCTGGGCCCAACAAGCCTGTTTTAATACTTTTCATGCTGCCTTCAAAAAATGAGGATGGATTTATTAGCTGTAACCAGAGGGATGAAAAACCATCACAGCGATGGGCTGCCAATTTAGGATCCAGTCACAGAATAAATCAAAAATGTTTACACATTTAAGACTTAAATAAAAAAAAATAAAGAAAAAAGACATTCATTAAAACGCTCTATACTTTCAAAGTTCTGGGTAACAAAGAACTTGGCGACAAATCTGTGTTGGGTACAGGGCATCTGGCAATGACACAGGGGTCTGAAGCCAGGATGCTTTTGACTCAGTCTACTCAAGGAAGGCTCTCTGGATCAGAAACTTTTTCGAACCATTTGAGCTTGCAGCAGAGATGCGGGAGCAGCAGCACACCCCACCACACCCAGAAAGTGCCTTTTTGGGATGGCTGGTATGTGGTTTGGGTATTCTTAGCTCTAACTGCCACATCTCTGAAGGAACACAACTCTTCCAAAAGACCGCCTTCTGCCATTCTGTCCTCTAAATACAACTAAATAAATCCATCTCTAGGGCCTGGAAAGTTCTGCTAGGTCCACCTGCCTCTCACCCCTCAAAGCTGTCCTGTCACCTGGAAAAGCAAACTAGCACTGAGCCCCAGAAAATCATGAAGTTCTTCCTAAACACACCGAATACTCTTCCTGGCTTCCTAGTCCTCTCCATAGCCCTTTCCCATTTACCCCAGAGATTCACGTCTCCACCTTCTCACAGTTACACAAATAAAACCCCAAGAGCACAACCCCAGGGGGATGCTGTGGACGCGCATGTGTACACACACACACACACACACACACACACACAGCGCTTACCGATGCCCAGCTACACAGCTACACAGACGCCTGGAGACGCCGCTCCCCAGCTTCACCCCTTCTGCTCCTCCAGCTCGGTGAGCTTCTCCAAGGTTATTTAGCTCCTATCCGCTGGGATTCTCATTTTAGCAGTTTCCTTTTCAAATGCCAATGGTGACAACCTCCCCCCAGAAGACAGCAAATGAATGGCTCTATGCATTTGCAGACACCGAGCCGGAACCTCCTTTGGGCCTGCTCCGCTCCGGGAGCCGGGGCCCTGGGGCAGCCTTCGGGACAAGTTCGGGAGGTCGGGCTGGGCCTCTTTCCACCGAGCAGCTCCAGGAAAGGCGGGCGCGCCACCACCCCGCCCGGCCCGGCCCGGCCCGGCTGCAGCTGGCGCAGCGCGGGGACCCCGCCGTCCACCTCGCCCAACTTCTCGCACCGCGCTCGGCCAAGTCCCAGCCCGAGCGACCGGCGAGCGCTCGCACCCGCGCCGCCCCGCGCGTCCCGGCAGCCGCTCGCCGCGCTCCCCCTACCGCCTCCAACGCAACAAATAAACACAACTTTTTATGAAAAGAAAATAAACTCCAGCGACGTGACTCACCTCTGGGAAGGGCGAGCCCGGGCCCGGAGGCCAGTGTGGTGGGCGCGAGGCAGCCACGCAGCGCTGCGCCGCGCGGACACACGACGCGTGCGGGGACACACACGGAGACACGCACACACACCCCACCCGAGAGCGGTCTCACCGGAGCCACAAAGCAGCCCCGGACCGAGAAGTCGCCTCCCAGGGAGGGAGGGCGCGTGCGGGCGCGTGTGGCTGCGGTGGGGGTGTGCGCGCGCGTGTGTGAGCGTGTGTCTGTGCGCGGCCGTGGACACCGCGAGCCCAGGTTCAGGGTCCCCCGGGCAGGAAGCAGGAGCCACGGCGACTGCGGGGGCAGCAGGCGGACAAGGCTGGGGACGTCTCGCTCCGCGCACCCAATCCCTCCATATGGAAGAAGCTTTTTTGGATGACTGAACTTGCAAACAATTCCTTCTTTTGCTTCTCCTGCTTAGGAGCCTCCCATTGCTGTGCCAGGAGAGGAGGGGGAGAGGAGGAGGAGGCGGAGGAGGGGAGGAGCGAAATGGAGCAAAGAAAAGTCTTGGAAAGGAAGCTGGAAACTCACACACACGGAGACACGCACACTCCCCCAGTCTAGGGCAGTTGCAACCCTCACATCCACTTTCTGCTGCAGATAGACTTGCGCTCCTCCAGTATTTTCTTTTCCATACTACAAGTACCTTCCGGTACCTTCGCCCTCCCCTGGCTTCACCTAGAACCCCATGCTTCCCTCCTGTTGCCCTCTCTATTCTTTCTCTCTCTCTCTCTCTCTCTCTCTCTCTCTCTCTCTCTCTCTCTCTCTCTCTCTCTCTTTTGTATTTTTACCGGTACCAGGGATCAAACTCACGACTACAGGCTTGCAAGGCAGGCGCTTATGCCGCTGAGCTAAATCCCCAGCCCCAAGCCCTGTCTATTCTCTCTCTGCCCTTTTCTGACGTCCACCTCTAAATTGTTTCCTTCATTCTGTAAGCAAACTGTTCCATTGTTTCCTTCATTCTGTAAGCAAACTGTTGCATAAATCAGTAAAAGTAAACTTATTTTTATTAAAGACCAGGGCCCCAGTCTCCCCAATACGACAAGGGTAGTCCAGAAAATGATATGGCAACGTGTGTTGGGGAAGCCCCAAGGCCACCTCCCCAGTCTTGGTGGGTCAGCTGGGGATGGTTTGCCTCTGTCATCAGTTGACAGCACCCTGGCCTACATTCATCATACCAGATGTAGCAGCCAGGACAAGGAGGCGGCATGTGAGGGGGTGGTGTTAGCCACCGCAGAGAAAAGTTAGTCACCACTGTGTGCGTGTGCTGGGTGTACAACATTCAGAGCAATGTCTCAAACTTGGGCAGTCGTAGGAGTCTAAAAAGTTTCACACAATGCTGACTGCTGGCCTCACCTCCAGGTTCTGATTCTTTATGTTTCTGCTCAGTGAGAATTTGCCTTAAAATTTTCAGGTGATGGAGGATTTCTTTTCTTCCAGGGTACTGAGAAGTCAAATGCTGAGTGGGTGGCCAGTAGGGTCTTCTTATGGAGGGGTGAAACACAGATTGTGAAGGATTATTATCCCCTGTCCACCTATTGCAGTAGAGAAAATGAAGACCAGAAGGAGTTGTCTGTTCCAAGTGAACCAAGTGTCTACCAAGGTCACGGGGAAGCTCTCTCCGGAGTGGGTCAGCCAGACCAAAATTGTGAGCAGAGGTGTTGCCTCCCCGCTGTGATGGAAGATGAGCTGCACTGGGAGCCAGAAAACCACAGTGTGACTGAGTAAGTCACTTACCCTCCCTAGGCTGTGTTTTGCTTTCTCATCAGTAAAAATACATGCTTTGTATTGAGTATATGATTTTAATTGAATCTGAAACAAAAAAAAAATGTCTAAAAAAGCAACAACAATGTGTTCTGATCCATATTTTGTGCTGCTCTCCCCCCCTCACCCCCTGCATTTGTTAATTCCGGCAGGAGCCAATTTTCATTTTGATTTTTCTGGTCCTTTTAGCTCTGCATGCCTGGATTATTGGGCATGTTCCTGTGGCAAAATGGGTCAAGTGGATGATCTATTTTCAACAAGAAAGTGCAAAGTCTCTGAATTCACTCTTTGAACCTCCTGCTTGCATCCCCCTTCCCTCTCCTGACCTCCTACTTTTCTTCTCTTTTAATCTTTCACAATCTCCCAGAACATTCTCAAAGACCTATTTTTCTCCTGGTTCAATGACAATATTAGCTTCCACCTTCTTATTGTCTTCCTTCTGAGGCACAGTTCAGGACAACAAGGCCCGCAGACCACCCTCAGTACAAAACCCTTCATTTGTCAGGGGACTGGGTCAGCCAGGCTTCCACTAGAGTGAAAATTCTAACCTCCTCTCAGATCTTTACGCAGGGGCTCCAGCTTTCTGTGTTTCAGAGATGTATTCCAAGCATCACTCCCACTGGCACTGATGAAATTATTTGCGAAGTTCTCAGATCGATTGCTTTTTAAAATATTCCTGTGAGTGTTATACATTGTTTAACATCTCGAAGATATCTCCTATCCCTGCATGGCTTTCTTGTAGGTCTTCCCATTTCCTCCTGTATTTGCCTCCACTTAGCCCCAGTTCTGTATCAAAGTGTCAGCCCTTACCAACACTATTTAGCCAGCAGAGTGAAGCCTGGCCTTCTGCCTTCCTTAGCTGATGATCTCAAGCTGATCATCATGGCTGCCTGCCTTTCCTAAAGTTTAGACAGAATGCAGATCATAGTTTCATGGAGATTTAACTCAGCTGCCACATCAAGCATGCTGTTGGGAGTTCAGATATGTTTGCTGTTTTTATGACTTTGTATTTGTGGTTGTGTCTGTTATTACTCTCTTTTTTTTTTTTTTTTTTTGTACCTGAGATCAAACTCACGACCTTGCACTTGCAGGCAGGTACTGTGTCACTGAGCTTTATCCCCAGCCCCTTGTCATTACTCTTTTTATAAGCTCACTATATCTCTGAACTCCTTCTTTACTTCCGTCTTCTGTAGTGTGTTCCTTGTTTAACTCTCCCTTTCTCTTTCTATGAGCCTCCCTATCCTAACTCCAGTATCCTGGACAACTAAAGACTGATTGGAGCCTGGGCTCACTGAGGTGCCTTTTGCTACTCTCTGTTCTGATACTGGTGATTTATGGACATTCACTCAAAAGGAAGCATGTAGGGTTGCAGTGTAGCTCAGAGGCAGAGCTCCTGGCTGGCATGCACAAGTCCTGAGTTTGATCCCCGGCAGTGTAAAAAAACAAATAAATAAAAAAGGAAATGTTTAGTATGGAAGTAATCACCACCTGAATTTATTATGCTGAAAGGAGGTTGAGGGATAGTGGACAGGGGCTGCAGGTCCGTATAAGTCACTCTGTCCTGAGTCTGTGCAGCAGGGTCTGGAAGGGATAAGCAGAGTAACAGGAAAAGATGTTCCATCCTCTGCGTGTGGCAGATATTCCACCACTATCGTATAAACTGGGATATCTGGAAAAGATGTGCTGAGATTACTAAGGTGTAGACAAAGACATGTAGGGAATTGATTTTTCCTGTTTTACTATAAATCTGTTTTCCTGGTTATGAAATATATGCACTAAAAATTCAGAAAAATATAGAAAAATAAAAAAAGGGAAGAAATCATATTAATCATACTACCCAGGGCCAATAGCTGCTAGTATGATGGGGTTTTTCCTAGTCACTTTTATGTCTCATCAATTCTGATTCAATTGGAATCATATACTTTACACTGAGCATATGATTCATATGGAATCAGTTGAAAGGTATTTAAAGGTCAACACAAGCAGGGAATGTTTATTAGTTATCAGTACTATTTTTTATATGAGCTTGATAATTCTTGCAGGAGCAAGTTTCTTTCTTGATTTATTGTATATACTGGGTTTTTTTTTTTTTTTTTTGTCCTGTTAGTACTAGAGATTGAACTCGTGCTAGGCAAGCTCTCAAACACCACTAAATGACATTCCCATCTTTTTTTCTTTTTTTTTTTTTTTTGAAGGCTTTCTTGCTAAGTTGCCCAAGCTGGCCTTGAATTTGTGACCTTCCTGCTTCAAGAATTGTCTTTTGAGTAGTAGGCCTGCAGACATACACCTCTACCCCTGGCACAGTTGCTTTTTAAACATTCTACTGATTATTTTCCCCGTGTTATCAAATCTTCTTCAAAGTTTGACTTTAATAGCTATGCATTACCCCATCAAGGGCAGAAACTACTTACTCTATCATTCTTCTGTTGTCAGATAATTAGGTTGCTTTTATTTTTATTATTATCTATTATACCAGTTGACTAAATGTCCTGTCATACATCTTCATCATTCTGATTATTTCCAAAAGGTGAATTCTTATAGTAGGAATTTTGGGTCAATAAATAAAACATAGCACTTTAAAGATACTTGTTGGTATTATCCTCCAATGATTCCGTTGCACATTTCCAACTCTCGTTATTCTAATAAAATTGAGACTATTAAACATACAGAGTCAAGTGGAGATGTAATTGAATTATACAGTTTGGATAATTGCACTCTCCAGATAAAGAAACTGCCAAATATTCACAATAGTGGAAACAGCACTCGAATGGGAAGACTTGAACAATAATCTCCTACTATGTGAACTCAGTTGTAGTTAGGATCTTATTTAATGTATTCAACAATGCTCTGAGAAACAGGGCTGTGATTATTGTGCACCTTCCTTTCCCGGCCTCTGTGTTGGATGCTGTGTGTACATTCAGTTTAGAATTCCCACAACTGTTTGACATAGATGCAATTATATCCACTTTACAGATAAGGACAATTATATTACTTGCCCAAGATTATGATCAAGTAAGGGGCAGTTCAATTCCAAACAGTGCAGTATGCTATTTTCTTACAACAGTATCATGAGTTTTAGGTTATTTATTGGAATAAGAAAATATATTTAGAAGGTGCTTGAATTTTGGTGAACCATTAAGAAATCTTTTATGGGTTTTCTAGTGACTATTTTAAAGGTATATTCAAATGCATTCAAAGACTAAAGGTAACTTCATAACTGTGTACAATACTACAAGAGTCTAAAGATTGTGTATTATATGAGAAAAGAGTTCTGATGTATGAGTTAAGATTAAAGGCTAGATGCGAAAATTCACAGAACTAATTAGTAAACTGGGTTTTGTATACATTCCTCCTTTCAAAGCTAATGTACGAGTAAAGATGTTTTGCCTTGATAAGCGATATTAAAAATAAAATATGCATAAACTCAACTTCCTAGTTTAAAATTCTAGTTGTTGAATGTATTAAGCTTTTATTTTATTAAGACAGTACCTCAGTACATTTTCAAAATAAATGCATAAGTTATTTCATTAACTTAGAATTAGGAATATTCACTCTCACTTGCCCTTTAGCAGGGCATTAATTAGTTAGCTGAGCTGGTCTACCTGTCTATGCTGGGTATCACAAGGGCTACTAGACCAAGAAATGTGCTAGCTGTTCTAAAATATTTGTGGACTAGATAAAAAATTATGAATGAAAGCATAAGATTGACCGATGCAACAATTAGTAACCAATGCAAAACAGCATATAATTAAAGTCTAAATTGCATGGTTGAACAGAATTACAGGTGAGCCTGGCCCAATGCCATTTATTCTTCAGACAAGTTAAGCTGACGGGTACTGAATTCTCTAGCCCTGGGCTACAATGGATTTTCCTACTGGCCATGTGTTCTGTTGGTTTTAAAAGATTCATCTCCGTATCCTCATAAGGCTGTGTCTATGGACAGGTATACATACCCTGGGGAGAGGATGGCATGGAACAAGAAAAAGGGATATTGCAGAATCAAAACAAATATGGCTATTACAAACTGTGCTCCTATCAGCAGGGGTGTGCCTACATCGCTGTAGTACAAAAGAATTATTTCAGGAAGACACCAAGAAGGGGGATAACTGGATCAAATAGAACCTCTAGTTTTAGTTTTTTGAGGAATCTCCACAGTGGTTGCATCAGTATTCACTCCTGCCAACAGTGAAGAAGGGTTCATTTTCCCTGTAGCCCTGTCAGCATTTGTTATTGGTTGAGTTTTTTGATCATAGTCATTTTTTTTGAGTCAGATAGAATCTCAGTGTTGTTTCAATTTGCGTCACTCAAATGACCAGTGACGCTGAACATTTTTTTGTATATTTATTTGAGATTTCTACTCCTTTATCTGAGAAGTGTGTATTCATTTCAGATGTTCTTTTTTGGGTGGGTCTTTAAATTTGAGGCTGTATGATTTTTTGAGTTCTGTATATATTCTAGATATCAGTCCTTTGAGGAGCAGCTGGCAAAAATTCTTCCCTCTCTATGAATTGTCTGTTCACTCTGTTGTTGGCTTATTTTTCTAAGAAAAAGCTTTTTAATAGATGAGCTCCCAGTGGTTGATTCTTTGTGACATTTCTTGTGTGATCAGGATTTTGCTCATAAAGTCTTTAATCTATACCAGTGTCTTTAAGAGTTCTACCTATTCTCTCTTCCAGCATATTTAGTGTTTCTAAATAGATCTTCGACCCATTTAGATTTTAGTTTAGTGCATGATGAGAGACATGGATCTAGTTTTAGTCTTTGGTATGTGGAAAACCACTTTTTCAAGCACCATTTTAAGAAGAACATATTTAGATCCTTTACTTAAGGTAAGGTGTCTGGAGTTGTTTCTGTATCATCTAATCTGTTCCACTGAAACTTGGGTCTGATTTTTTGCTTTTGTTTTTTTAACCAGAACTGTGATGTTTTTATTACAATATCTTTGTAGTATAATTTTTGT